AATTTGGACTTTCAGGTTATTCTCTCGCTGTTCTTTCCATGGAAAACTCAGTCTATTTCGTTGCTGGTGCTCCCCGTTCCAATTACACTGGCAGAGTTGTGGTGTATGAGGTTGATGACCATGGCAACATAATCATCATTGACTCTCAAAAAGGAGAGCAGGCAAGTGTTGCATTTAATGCTAAGCTTTCACAGTTGTATATTTATTCTCTTTGTAGTGAAAAACTCTGCTTCTAAAGTAGACATTATAACAAATCTTTATTTGTATTTTCATAACGATAATTTTACATGTTTACAATGCTGTGCACTATTCACATAAATTTCCGATGAAGTATGGCTTCCATGCCCCGTTTGATAGCAATGGTTGTGTCATTTCAGATTGGTTCTTATTTTGGCAGTGTGGTGTGCTCTGTTGATATCAATGGAGACTCCATAACAGATGTGCTGTTGGTTGGTGCACCAATGTTTATGAATAATTTTAAAAAAGAGGAAGGAAGAGTCTACATGTTCACAGTCACAAAGGTACCTATAAAATGTATAAGATATCATTGTAACAATTAACAGTTACAATATATTTATCAAATGAACATTTGGGTTTTGTTGGGGATTTTTTTTTGTTTTCTGACGCAGTTTTTTCATGTTTAAAAGCAATTTTATGCATTTTTATTTAAGATTATATATATTTGTATTATAATTACCTTTGTGTTTTGCTTCGTTTTCTGTTACCCTTTTAAAAGCAAAAAAACAACACACAAAGGATTCTGTAAAATGGCTAACTTCCATACCCCTAGGTTTTCCCCCCAATTTTTTCCAATGCTTCCTATATTTATTTAAAAAAATGTATTTCAGTATCATAATCTTAAGTTAATAAATTAATAGAACACTAACATAAATTTCCTTGTGTTTCACTTCCATTCCTTTTGATCTTTTATCAAAGGGAATTTTGGACAAACGAGAATTCCTTGAAGGTCCAGAAGGACTGGAAAATGCTCAGTATGGATCTGCTATCACTGCTGTTTCTGATATTGATCTGGATGGTTTTAATGATGTGATAGTTGGAGCACCATTAGAGAATGAGAATACTGGTGCTATATACATTTATAATGGTAAACAAAAGACATTACACACTAAGTATTCCCAGGTAAGGAGTATGATGCTGTATTGTACAGAACAGTTTTGATTTAGGATGTGTTATTTTTTGTTCTTTGCCTAAACAATATTTTTCCAGACTTGCAGAAATTTTATTTTGCTATATATTTTCATTGGCAGGCACGTAGCTAATATTTCAGCTGGCTTCATTTTTATCTTTGCAGTATGTTCACTGGTGAATTGCCAATCATGAAATTTCTCATATGGATGACCTTATAGTCTAAAATCAATTGAAAGTCAATGATTAAATTTATATTGTGTTTAAAAACCAGATCAGTTGCACTGGTTTTTTTTTTTAAACTATGTATGTTGATATACCTTTTTAATGCCATCTGATATTGTTGCTTTGATTGTAACATTAATTGCTAATTATTTGTTTAGTTTGTCAACATTCCTGTTTTGCTTTTAACCTTACAGAAAATTTCTGGATCAAACCCCGCATTTGCTCAGCAACTCCAGTATTTTGGAAGATCAGTAGATGGCCATATTGATTTAAATGATGATGGAATTACTGATGTATCTGTGGGTGCCAGTGGAAATGTGATTCAACTCTGGTGGGTAGAAGATTTTTAAGGAAATAAAGAAAATACCTTAAAGGAAAAAACTCCCCACTTGAATTAGCTTTCCTCCAGACTGCACTCTAATTGACACACTGCATATAAAATGAATTTATCCATACATACAGCCAGGCTCAGACTGGGTCAGCATGATTATCACATATGAAGACTTATGCTGTGCCGGTGTAATCTACAACCATGGTTTAAGTACATAGTGCTGGCACAATGGTTAGAATGCAGTACTGTAGTACTGCAGGCTAATTCTGCTGCCAGTTGCCAGCAGTTCAGCAGTTCAGTTCTCACTGGCTCAAGGCTGACTCAGCCTTCCATCTTGTTGGGGTCCCAGATTGTTGGGGGCAAAAGGCTGACTCTGTAAACTGCTTAGAGAGGGCTCTATATAGGTCTAAGTGCTACTGATACATATCTATGTATATAAAAAATACATCAGAAGATTTGGTCCACCATGTGATCAGACCTGATCCTCCAAATATGCATTTCATTCCAATCTAATTGGCATTTATAAAAAGATCTAGAATATATTATTAGCATAGTTATAATGTAATCAATAGCATTTTGAACATTTAAACATAAAGCTCGAATTTCTTGCTTTTGGTTCTCATAAAAAGATGCAGCCATCAGGTATAGATCATGTTACATATCTGAATCCCATATCCAACAGCTGGGCTGGCCACTTTGACTGGGACAGTTCAGTGTCTGGCCTTGAGCAAATACAAAATGCAAAGAAATATGTCTTCCAAGCAAGTGAGAGCAGTAGGATCATAAGTTGCTCTTAAAACCAGGCTTAAACCATTGAAAGAAAAACATAGCGGTTTTGAACAATATAGTGTTAGGAGCAAAAAGGATAAGTTAAGGCAATGTCTAATTTACTCAAGACTAATTTGATAGATTTAACTTAGAGAGCCAGTTTGGTATAGTGGTTAAAGCATGAAGCTAGAAATCGGAAGACTATAAATTCAAGTCCTACCTTGGAAATGAAGCCACCTGAGTAATCTTTCTCAGCCCTAGGAAGGAGGCAATGGCAAACTAATTCTGCGTAATCTCTGAGACTTGAACATGATTGAATGGAAGAAAAAAAACATACCTTCTCAAGAAAGATTAGATATAATTGTGGTTATGTTTCAGTTTCAGAGGCAACAGAGTTTTCAGAGGAGATAGGAACACACTCTCTTTCTATATGCCAAATCTTTAAACTAAAAACATATTCTCCTGGGATCATGTGCCAACTGTAGAGGACAAACATGCTACACCAGGAGAAAATATGGTTGTCAGGACGTCAAGTCACCTTCTGACTTTTCAGTTTGAAGTGCTGCATGTCCCTGATACATATGGACAGTATGTACGTATGTCCCTGATACATATGGACATATAGACATATGTCCATAGACATATGGACAGGAAATAGATTTACAGTTGGCGAAGTATTTAGGTTTTGCTGTTCCCCAACCATATGAATAGCAAATGCCTGAAAGCCTTTTAATTTTTACCATTCTTTAGGATGTCTCTATCTTTTCAAGATACTTTTAAAAGAATTGTTGTATTTCCTCTATACATAATTAATCAGGAATTTTGCAATCAGATATTCAGAGAAATGTATTTCCTAATGATAGATTGCAGCTATTCAGATTAATTCTGTAATTCTAGATATAAAACTGGAGCACTTTTTTTTTCCTTTTTATGACTGAGATCACAGAGAATTCTGCTTGCCTCTGTTTTAGGTCACAGAGCATAGCCAATGTGACTTTACATGCTTTATCTACTCCTACGAAGATCAGTCTGCAGAACAAGAACACAGAAGTAGATTTAAATATATGTTTTGGTGTAACTTTTAGACCTATCCATAGGAGTGACAAAGTGGGTGAGTATTTCCCAAAGTTAATTTGCACACATCCTTTCATTGGAGACATTTGCAATTGTCAGCTAAATAAAATTCTCTCTCTATCATACACACAAACTAATCTGGATGCAATGCAAAACTCTTAAAAATGTATAAATTTGTTTTAATGAAATGGCCCTATTGCTGCAAAATCTAGCAGAAATATAATAATCATACTACTTTAACTGCTATTATAACAATCATATTATTTTAATTGCTATGATTTCTAAATATATAGTACTTAGTACTGTGTATTCAGAAATAATAGCAATTAAATAGTTTTTGAACATTTTGGTTGTCAAATCCAATAATAATGCCATTACGGAATGATGAATATTTCTCCATTATTTTATCTTATTGTTTTCAAATTTGAAAATAGATTTGAAACATTTCAAGTATTTCATAGTCTTTCTCCCAATAACCGTTTCATTATTTTGTGACTATTTTGTTAGTTTATGGCAATATTCCCAATGCAGTGCTGTCCTACTATGCACTGGTGTTGTGACATATAGAATTTGTAATCTAATACATTTAGTGCAACCTGGAGAATCCAGGTTAGAGGGCTTTTTTTATAAAATACCAAGATTATTCTTGATACTGTCATGACTGAGAATACCTCTTTTTTTAAGTTCATTTGATGTTTGCCTAGAATATATCTGAAAATGTATAGAGGGCCTTACTCTCAGTTTAAAAACTAGGTTGGTTTGCAACTTGAGGCTGTATCTTGACATTTATATCATTGCTTTCACCTTTAGATATTAGATACAACCTAACATTGGATGCGGATCTCTTATCTTCACGCATTATCTCTAGAGGATTATTTAAAGAAAACAATGAGAGGTCTCTGCAGAGTAGTATCGTAGTCCACCCTCTGAAGACATGTGTGAATCATACTTTTAACGTGCAGGTAAAAAATAGCCCAGAATTACCCAAGCCATGTATCAGAACTTGACTGCTGCTTTTAGACCCTTGTCCTTAACTCTCAGCTTCCTGACTTGAAGAGCAGGCGGCCAAAACCTTTCCTATGATGTGATGTCATTAGAAGATGCAGGTCTGACATTTTAGCCTGTTTTTCACTCAGGTTTCAATTTGGGCAGCAGCATAAAGATGGCAGTGAGAGCATTTTGCCTCATGGAGGTCTTGCCCTTCAGTCCTATCCTTAAATTCTCCCCGGCGCTGTAAAAAATGGGCTGTTTTGCCACTAAATTGCAGCGCAATGATTTTGGGGTATTCTAAGGATCACAAATTAGGTGCTGAGAAGCATATGTAGCCCATTGGCAATAATTTTGTTCACCAATATTTGACATGTGTAAAAAAATGAATCTAGGTGATTTCAAATTAAAGACATAGTATTAAATGTTTGATCAGATTGTATTTCTGAAGAAGTGGAATAAAATCTGCAGACATGTATAATGGACATTTTTGTCTGGAAAATTAGAAAATAGCTTTCATATAATGTATTAATATTACATGATATATATTTGGTTATTTATAACAGAGGTCCCCAACCCCCAGTCCTTGGACCAGTACCGGGCCACTGCATGCCAGCAACTGGACCGCACAAATAAGGAAAGCCCCATCCACAGGAAGCAGGCAGCACACAAAACCACGCCCCCTCCGGTCTGTGGAAAAACCTCTCTCCACGTAACCGGTCCCTGGTGCGCAAAAGGTTGGGGACCTCTGATTTATAAAACCTTGTAATTAGTATTAATAATAAAATCAGAGGTAAATAGAACAAGAATACAGTAACATCAAGAATAAACTCAGCTATCCATGAAATGCTCATCAGAGTAAATGTGCTCTCACCTGGTGTTTAAAATTAAAAGTGGTCAGAAGCATTTGGGGAAACTATGTTATCACTGGGATGTGACCACCAACAAACAAAGGGTCTCCAGTTGCCAACAATCTCAAATCTGAAAGTGATATTACTTGTATAAGAGCACAATCACAATTTCAACCAGGCCAGGTTCATATGAGAGCAAATATTGCTTTGAGCCTCTCTCTTGCACTCTGGCACTGAGCTAATCTGCTAGGGGAGCAATTTCATCTGACTGGCTAGCTTGACAATTTTTTCTTCCCAAGGTATTGGATATCAATTGAATAAATGCAAGCCAGAAAGAGTTGCATCTTTAAAAATAACTTTATTTGTAAACATGTCCTATTGAAATGTTCAGAAGTACCTTATCAAGCAATATTTTAATGTTATCAGCCATTAGTTATAAAAATTTAAAATAAGAAACAAGCAAGCAAATTAAAGGGTTGTGTGGATATTTATGCTTTGTGTGCATTTATATGTTTATAGGCTCCTTCTGATACTATTGACTCCCTTAACGTGCGCATTGATATTGCGCTGAAGAACCCCAACTCAAGCCCTGTTCTTGATAAAACATCTCCTACCACTCTTGTTTATAGCGTAAGTAAATTAATATGCTTTCTTTTTATATGTTTTTAACAAGTTGCTGCATGGACAGGATGGATATGTCCATGGTTTCTGAAAACTAGGTGTGATTGCAATATTACAATATTATTGGTTTAATGATGTTGCCCGCCTGAGTATCAGCTCCATAATTAGAACAAACAAAAATAAAATGTGTTGATAGTGGTTGTACTAATATTGTTGATTATTTAGTTGGTTTATATATTGCATCTTTTATACAGAAGTTACCAATGCATCTTCCTGTAAACCTTATATCAAATATATGCCTCTAAAGAGGGGTGAAAATTACAAATTTGAGATTCTTCCATACCACATAAAGATGCTGAGCCAAAAAAACCCCCATTGTTACCAATATCCAGACAACTAGCCTCTAAATCCTGTTAGGAGGCACATAGTCTCCAGTTACTGAAGACTCCACTTGCTCTCTCCTCCTACATTTAAGCTAGCTTCTCTCTTGAAATTGCTTCCAGATTTTGTGCTTGCAATGAAAAAGAAAATGAAAACTTTGTTTTTGTTAACCAGATAGGTGTATTGTTATAGAAATGGTTTGTACATATTGTTGTATAAAAGCAAAAAGTTGTGACTTTCCCCTTTTCTAATTCTCTATTACTTTTTTTAATTTTAATTTATAAATCAATAAAATTATTTTTTAAAAAAGACTCCAATTGCATTTACAGTAATTGAATTTTCTTTCATTTTCTTTCATAGTAAAGGCCCATATAATACAACATCTTTTCCCACAATACCCAATAAGATATTCATAAAAAAACCCCACAGTAAGTGGGACATGATAGTCCTACAGGTAGTTCTCAAACTTATGGTCCCAGTTTGGACCAGAACCTTTGTCATTAAGTGATGCAGTTGTTAATTGAGTCTTGCTGATTTATGACTTTGTTTCTTGTCGTCAATAAGTGATCTTGGTGTTATAAAAAAATGAAAAAAAATATTTTCCTTTAATTGATGTCAGAACATTTTGAAGTGGCATATGTAATAAAGGTAATAGTGCGAGATTTTAAAATGTGACATGTAAAATAAGAAGGTGTGGGAAGAATATTTGTAACATAATATTAATCCAGAGAATACTTGGATGAAGAAAGAGGGTGTTAAGAAGCTCCTGAAACATGGGTGATGCATATTCTCTAGAGTGAATAAAGAGCTTTCAAGGCATCCTCTTGCATTACTGTGTCTGCAAGTTAAAATCTGTTTATCTAGGTCTGAATCTGTTTTCTCTGTGCTTGTTTCCTTTTCAATATTTATATATCTCACAGAATTTTCCTATTCTTTGTGCAGAAGGTGAAATCTGGAGATGCATTAATATTTGCTTAATTCAGATTTATACCCAGAAATATACTTGTTCCAATCATAAAAGCACAAATCAGCAGTTGAAATGCTGTAATAAGAAAGACATAGACATAGATCCTTTACTTTGAACAAAGAAGACGAAAAGCTTTGGGTTGCTTTTATATTTTCTAGATACCATTTGTCAAAGATTGCGGTGAAGATGAAGTTTGCAAGACAGATCTCATTCTGGAAGTTGAACAGAAAAATACTGGGTAAGAAATGCTTGTATTGCTATCTCATCAGTCTGTTCCATAATAGAAAATGAGCTATTTGAGCTGGTTTGAAAATAAATGTAGATGTTTAGAAAGGAGAAGAATAAAGCTTTAAAATCCAGAATTTAGGATTGAACAAGTTTACACTGATTCTATCACTGGGAAAAAATAAATGGGAGTAATAATTATCACACATGAATTATTGAATGTTTGCTCATATCATTCTTGAATGCATAGCCAGCCCTTTGTGAGTGGGTGGGCAGGGAAGGAGGAAGGAAGGAAAGAAAGAAGGAAGATATCACTGGTTGTTTTTTTAAGAAGTATGAGATAACTATAATCCATAGTGTTTCCTAGATAAGAATAAGTCTCCACTTTTGGGGGGATCAGTGAATATCTTTAACATTTGTGGATGCTAAAGAAAATGGATACATGGAGGACACCCACTTTACAATATGGCAGCTTTTTAAAATTAAGTTGAAATTTAAAATAAACTTTAAGAAGTAAAATAGAATGAAGGAGGTAATGAGCAGCAGGGAAAGTGTCTGCAGAAAGAGACCTCTAGGAAACCCAGCACTCATTTTTATTTTTTTTTCCTTCTCCAGAAACAACAAACAGTATTTTCTTGTCACCAGTAAAAACAAAAGACTGACATTTGGCGTGAAATTGAAAAACACGAATGAAAATTCATACAACACCAGAATTCAAGTGGCTTTTTCTGAAAACTTGTTTTTTGCTTCATCTTTTTCAGTGGTATCTATAATCTCTATTCTTACTGTTGTGCTCAATGCTAATAATACCAATTATTTTATTAAATAATAGTATCTTCTTTTAAATGTGTGCTCATAGTTATTGAGAGTAAATCCCATCCCATCTCTTCACCCTTGTAAAGATACTTTTCAGCCACACTAGATAGACCAGGGGTAGGCAACCTCAGCTCTTTTATGACTCATGGACTTCAACTCCCAGAATTCCTGAGTCAGCATATTCTGAGAGTTGAAGTCCATGAGTCATAAAAGAGCCGAGGTTGCCTACCCCTGAGATAGACCATACCAAGAAATCAACTCCATAGGAAAGCTAAAATTATTTTTATTGAGAATATCTATTATAATAACATCTTTCAAGTCTAATCATATTATTCCAATAGAAGAGATTATGTACAGCTCAGGGTTGAACTTCATGCAATCTGAGCTTGGTTGTTTGCTTGCAAAACGTTTCATTACTGGACTAGGTAACATCATCAGTACTAGAGAGTGTGGAGCTTGTTCCCTGTTTATATGGAGGGAATGGGAATATGAAGAGAAGTAAGGGAAGCTGTGAGCATCCTAGATCAAGCTGAATCCGAAAAGGCTAGAGAATTCTTGGAAACTTGGGATTTAGACAAATTAGCTATCAATAGAGATAAACCACATTTGCATTCAAAGAGGAAGTTTAAAAAGGTTAAGAAGGAAATAAAAAAAAAGAACACAGCCTCTCCAGCAACCAATACCCAGATAAATAGAAATTAACGCCAGACAAACAATCAAGCAGAAAACAATACCCCAATCAAAGAATTACCAAAGAGAAAACAACACTCTCGCCAACACTGGCCTACTATGTATAAACAGGGAACAATTCGATACTCCACATTAGATACATGATGCTACCTAACTGAGAATTGAAACATCTGCAAGGAAATAACTAATCTTAGGGACCACCAAGAATTTCATAATTATATTTCCTCTTGTTTCTTATAATTCAGTGAATTAGAAAAGTCTTCATTTGAGCGATTCCTGAATGTTATTCTGAACTTAAAATATTTTTACCCCTTTTTGCCTTGGCAACAAAGTTTGCCTGCCCCAATCCAGGTCATTATTCTTATTCTACACTTTCTAAAAGAGGAAGACTGCTTAGTATGTCAATAGAAGAAAAATGCAATCCTATCAGATTTAAACCTTGGCATGTTTATTCTGAAATAAGCAATATTGAATTAGCTATTCATAGAATTGAGAGTTGTAATTCAGAAGCGAGATAAAGTCAAAACTAAATCTGCTTACCCTACAAAATAAACTGACTCATATAGTTTTGGGAGATGGGCATGCTCGATATATGAATATCTTAACTTCCTAGTTGATATTTGGAACATTGTTGTTGAATGCTAATAAAATGCTGCTTATTATATGACGCAGTTGCACATTTGAGAATTAACTCTGCTCACTTGCCCTGTTCCTCTAATGAGGTATCTCCGTGGTTTCTCAGTTCTTCCAGAAACAAAAAAAAAATCTCCTATTGGCAGAAGACCAATTTCTTAATCTCATCTATTTTCTGCATCGTTATCCCTCAAAGCTTCATGTGGAAGCTTCATTACACAATAATCATGAATTTAATTCTAATAAAATATCTGCTTTTTATTGTTAGGTGGATGAAAGCGAAGTTTTATGTCAGATGGCAGTTGTCCATCATCTTGTTGTCTGCCAAATCAGCTATCCTGTTTTTAAAGGAGGGCAAGAGGTATCTAGAAATGCTACAAATTCAACATCAGATTGAAATATTTTAAATATGCAAAAGCAAAATGAAAAAGCAAAGGCATTATATTCAGCAATGCAAAATATGTAAGCTAAAAAAACTGAATTCTCAAGAACTCTTCATCAAGCAGGGAAAGAAAAGTGGGGAATATGCAATTGTAGGTTAAATTGTTGTAATCCATGTTATACCAGGTTATAGCTTTAATTGTCATTCGGAGTAACATTTGGAGATGTACATTAGGTACATTGGTCTCTTGGAAGACAATCATTCATTTGCAAAGACATGGTCTTTCAGAAGATTGATATTCCCATGTCAAAAGCATCAACAAATGAAAGGCCTAGCCTAGGCAGGTGTCCCTTCTCTCACAGATCAGGTAAACCTGGTCTTAGTGGGCAGTGGCCCACAATAGGACTGTGGAGGGACGGATACTTAATCTCGATCACAACATCACCAGCTTTATCATTCATTGTTCATATAGTTAGATTTATTTGAAAGCAAGGAAAGCACCACTTTAGCAGCAAAATGATTTTAGGCTGCCTTTTCAGTGGGTTAAGGATGAGACAGAGGCAACAACGCATGGCTATATCTCTTAAAAATGGTTATCAAGGGTACTTTTGTTCTGCTGTAAGCAGAACATAAGGATGAATCCTTAGCAATCAGAGGTTAATCTAGGCATAATGTTAATGTAGAATAGCGATGTATTATATTTGCAGTTCAATTCTGAATTAGTGCTTTGGAGTATCCAGAGCAGCTGTATAATCCTGGGAATACATGCAGTTGCTTTAATTAGTTCCAAACATGCTATATTCATGTTGCTAGCAGTTAAGAGGCTGAGCTTGTTGACCAGTAAGTTGGCAGTTCAAGGCCCAAGTACCACATGATGGGTTGAGCTCCCACTCTTGCCCCAGCTCATGCCAACCTAATAGTTTGAAAGCATGGAAATGCGAGTAGATAAATAGGTACTGCTTCAGTGAGAAGGTAACAGTATAATGCTGGCCATATGACCACAGATGCGTCTTCAGACAACACTGGCTCCCTCAGCTAGGAAACGAAGATTAGGTTATCCAGTCTAGAGTTGGACATGACTGGATGGAGACATCTTTGTGTTTGCCTTTTTTATGCTTATCAAATATTTGTTTAAAATAAAATTGGAAGTGTATACAGTAGAGCCCCCTTATGGAATATCTGATCTTATTTTTTAAAGCAAATTGGCTTACTAGTGATAATGACTTTCCTAATTTTGGTGTTATTTTTCATCTTTGTTTTCTTCATAGGTATCCTTTGATATTAATTTTGACTTCAGTTTGAAAAACCTTCAGAATGTGGCAGTATTACATTTTCAAGCCTTGAGGTACACTGTAAATTTCCTGTTACATTTCAAAACAATATTTGCAGCCAAACCCATACTTCCTTAGTTTGGAATGCTGTGTTCTTCAAGATATCCGTTTTCACAAACAAAGAAGTCATTAAACAAATAATAGTAACTTCATAATAATGTTAAATAACATAATCCTGAAGTTTTCAAAAAGTGAATTAGTTGCTAGGCCACCTTTAAGAGATGTACATTTCAGTATGGAGGTTTTGCTTATTCTAAAAAGAACTTGCTTTATTATAACTTGCTGTCTGAAGATACACAGTAGAACATATCCACTAGAGCTGGAAAAAAACAAAGCTTCTTATTGTCAATTCCTTAGACTGGAAAAGTTTAGGGTGAATAGTATAAAAACCATCCAGATGGACATACTGTACATTGCATCTACGCTATCTCACATATACAGCTAGATGTTCAATTTGTGACTTCCTTCCATCTCTGAACTGTTCTTAGTCAAATTTCCTTTGAGCCTCCTGATAGAATTTATACATTTGGAGATTACAACTTTGTAAATGTTTTCAAATATATTTCATTTTTTATTGAACAGTGCAAGTAATGAAGAAGATTATACAAACAATCAGGTGAACGTAACACTTCCACTTCGTTATGATGCAGAATTTCACTTAATGAGGTAATTCTATTGGCGTAATAGACCCTAGCTATTCTGTGCTGGCTGGGGAATGCTGGGAGTTGAAGTCCACACAGCTTAAAGTTGCCAAGGTTGAGATACATTGTCCTAGAGATTTTGGTATAGTGGTCAAGGAATCAGAAGTCCCATCTTAGGCAAAAAGCCAGTCTCTTTCAGCCAGTCTCTTTCAACCCCAAGGAGGAGGCAATAGCCAACCACTTCTGAAAAATCTTACCAAGAAAACTGGAAGGACTTGTCCAAGGATCAAGGGAAAAAAATAGATTCTAACCCAGGATGAATTTAGGGGGCCTAACCTTGTGACTCATCCTCCAAAGCAAAAAAATACCTGCATATGTAAAGACAGAGGTGTATTTCTGGCATTCAAAGGATCCAGGAAAAAAAGGAATAGGGATGCAGAGAAGTGGGAGAAGAATTTCAGATAAGCTGCTGGAACAGACAATGTCTGTCAATTGTTGACATTCTCACAGAGACACAGGTCATTCCAAACCTTCTTTATAAATGTCCAGACATCCACAATAATAGATGTATAGCTATTGCTATAACATTACTTTTTTAAAGTAAACAAAAATATACCTGTATTAAAACAATATTCTTCCAGATGTATTTCCAAATTTAGAGTTCCTTAATATTGAAAGGAAAGCTGTATCCTGAATATCTGCTCTGATTTATTTCTCCCCAGGTTTACCAGTATGGACTACTATGAAGTATATTCTAATCATAACGTTTACACCATGGTGAATAATTTTGATGAAATTGGACCTGTATTTAATTTTTCAGTTAAGGTCTGTAAACATTTTCAAGTATCTTTTAAATATATAGACAATAATCTGTTCATAAATCATGGTAAACTAAAATACGTCTTGCTTTTGGTTTAGCATAGTGATGACACCTACCTCTTGTGATTTAGAGATAAAAATCATATGAAATTAGCTAACACAGCTAATAGAGTGGCCCACAATCTGAACAATTCAAAGTATAGATCTATTTCATAGTTGTAAAAGTGCCAGCCTGTCTTCCTTTCTAACATTAATTAAGAGAAAATGATTCTTATAACGTAGCCCATTTACTATTAGAATTAAGCCCGGTATTAATCCGTCTCTTGCTTTCCAGGTCATAAGAGGAAGTAATCCAATCAATATGGCAATTTTAAAAATTCATATTCCTAATCAAACTAAGGAAAATAACCCTTTGATGTATGTGACTGCAGTCCACACCAGTCAGGTGAAACAATGTTCTATTTTAAGTATAAGACAATAACAAAGATAATACAAAGCTAACTTAAACATAAACTGCACTGATAATAATGAGACAAATTTAAGCCTGTCAAGAGCTGATCTATATACCTGATTAATGGTGCAATTTTGTATATACTCAGTAGGGCATAAAATGCATAAGACTGCACTGTGTAAGAGTTCTTATAATGGATTGTTCCTCCTCTCCAGCTTTTGTGAACATCTACAGATGAATCAATATTACTATAAATGACAAAAGTAGTTGCAGGATCCCATCTGGGTCGGTCACTTATGAGCTTTTGAATGGACTTCTTCCCGTCCGACAACTCAGAAGACTAAAACTCTTCTGCTAGTGACTGACCCAGATTGGATTCTGCAACATTATCCTGGGACATGTATATTCATCAGCACTTGTGACAAAAGTAGTTCTTGAACACTATGGTGGGCAGTTCAGTTCTTTTTCAAATAAATAGAATAAATTTACTAATCTGTTATCTTTAGATCTCAAATTCTCAGTTTGGTGCTTAACTAGACCATGTTGACTTTATATATAAAATTACATTGATTTTGCAGTTGTGCACATACTATAACCTGAAATCAAATGCAAAAGTGTACTTGTAGAGCCAATAACATTTAAAAGGGGGAACAAAGGAATAATAATGCAGAATAGTCCTTCATTTAAAAGAACAAAAGCAGAATCTGTAGGAAATTTTGGCTATAGTAAACCCTAGTCCTGCTTCTTGAAATTGTAGAAATCTTCTTTGGATTGCTTGTTCTTCTCATCTTTCTACAGAATACCAAAATGTAATATATCCCCAGTGTTTGTCTAACAGTTTCTATATTTATTACATATACTAAGGCTATTCCACTGAACAATAGCAGGGGACATTAAAGTACCAACTGAATATTTCATGTGCATTATATATTATTACATTCTCTTTATAGGGCAGTGACATCAACTGTCATGGACTCATCAATCCACATAAAATTGGATCACAAGGCTATGTTGCATCATTTCAGAAAGAAAACTTCAAAGATTTGAAAGAATTGGTGAGTTAAATGCATAGCTGCAATACTGAGATATAAGTTCTCATGAACTGCTCTGGAATAGCGATGGGAAATCACAACCACAAAGTAGAGGTTCCTCTTTTGTTATGGTTCCCAGCTAACTCTTCTCCTCTGTGAGAAGGCTCTAATGGGACTTGCTACAATTGTCTCATGTCCACCTCAACAGGAAGGTGGGTTGCCTGAATTTCAAGATTCTGGGATTTAAGCCAAAAAATGGAAAAAATTTGATGGCAGCAGTCTAAACACAGCTATACACATAATAAGAAAAAGAAGGCCCTAAATAGAAGCTGAGGTTGGGTGAAGAGAAATGTGAAGTATATGATTTTTTGATATTATCATATTTTAAAATAATAAAATAACTAATCAACAAATGTTCATGTTTTCTTGTCTAAAAGAACTGCAAGAATGTCAGATGTGATACGATCACGTGCATGCTAAAAGATATATCCCTGAAACCTGAAAATTATGTTAATATTTCTACTAGAATCTGGAATGGGACATTTGCAACTGTAAGTAATATATGAGTTTTATTCTGTTACCAGCCTCTGGGTATTTAAGAAAATAACACTAAAAGTAAAGCCAACAATCTTTCATTAAAATGACAGAAAATAGTTGTGAGCAAGAAGATGCTCTGAATGACAAACTTTTTTTAAATGGACTTGAAAACTTAAATCAGGGGTGTCCAACCGTGACAATATTAAGACTCGTGGACTTAAATTTTCCCAGCCTGGTGAATTCTGGGAGTTGAAGTCCACAAGTCTTAAAGTTGCCAAGGTTGCCACCTACCTTAAATAATTTATATATTTGATGAAAAGTATTTTTTTTTAAATGTAAGTTGTAAAGTACTGTATATAAAGGTTTTTTTTTCTGTTGCAGTCAGCCTTCCAGAAAATAGAATTATCTGCAAGTGCTGAAATTGATGCCCAAGATTCCGAGTTGTTTATAACAGGAGAAAGCACTTTATCTGTGAGTATGACTTTATGTTTCTAGAGTTACTCTGCTAAATTTCTTTTTGAAGCTTTAATGCTAAAAGGCTGCAGCAAAGAATCATCTAGACAGAAAATAACTGCATATAATCTTGTTTTACAAACAAACCTGTTTTACTGTTCTGAATACCTTTGCTGACAAGCAAAATTTACTTTATTTAATTAAATTTACTCCTGTATCTTATTTGGAATCTGAGCCTATATCTTTCCATAAAATATATAAACTGGTGCCCTCCTGTGGAGATTAATGATGTTACATGTAGCAGATTGTATAAAATATGCAATATGCTAGATTTGTGCTACAGTGTATTTCCTTCCTATTTCTCTATTATGATTATTATTAATTGTTGCAGATAATGGGCAGGAAGTTCTCTTTCACATGAAATGTATCCAGTGAGAAATAGCTAGATTAATTGGTACAATAATTCAGATTTCCTGATGGTAGATATTCACAGGACACTCATGTGAAATATCTAATTGATTTTACTTTGGACTTGGCATTGTAGTTATTTTAATGGTCTGCTTCAGAGTGAGACCTTCTTTTGGACTTTTCTTTAAGGCTTGGTCTTTCTCTTAAACTATCTACAGTTTTTGTACTTGTTTTGGGGGAGGATTCTTTTCAAGAGGTGTCCTAATAAAACAGGATTAAAAATTCCACCAATACATGAAACTGTTGTTCCAAGGATTCCTATCACCAGTGGGATTTGTACTCAGTTTCTCTGGGGACAGTAATTTAAAGCAGGGAAATCTAGAAGTTGGCTGGCTGGGGAATTCTTGGAGTTGAAGTCCATAAGTCTTAAAGTTGCCAAGTTGGACATCCCTGATTTAAAGCAATATTTAAATTAAGAGCAGAAATTATTTTGATTTGTTTAATGGGATTACCTTTCAAAGCTCTTTTTGAAGTTTCCTCAAGGAGGAAAAAAATACTCCTTGAATATCCTGGTCTCAGTCACTTTAATGTTAAGGTGTTATAAATTCGATGGAAGCATAGTTGTATTATTGCTGGAATTGATTTCCATCTAACTAGGAAAAAGTGCACTGGGGCAGGAGGCATTGATTTCATACAGGTAGGAGATTAACAGAGATCCTAGCACTTCCCTGAACAAAAGAAGCTGCTTCATACTTGCCAGGACCAACAGAAGACTCAAAGCAGGCTTCCGATATGGCATTCTTGATGTACCCCATTCCTGATATCAGGACTTTCAGTCATGCTTCTCTAGTTGACAAACTCTGCTCATCTGGGAGCCCAACTTTCCCCATCACCAAATTTCTGCTCTCACTTGCTGCTGCATCATTCAGTGATCAGTTTTCAGCTTTGTGTTCTTGTGCAGCAGCAGTAGCAGCAATGCTTAAGAAAAACCATAATTGATGGCCTAAATAGCTTGGTCTACAATCCACTTTCTAACAAGGATGGCTATATTTATACCCAGGCTCTTGTTCTTGCAGCTCATGAACTTGCTTTGTCATTGATTCCTACTTTCAAATGAAAATTAATTTCTGTTAAATTCTTCTAGTCCTTTCTTCCCATGTGGTGAGTTGTTTCTTGTTCTCTGCCATTTGCTCTCCTGTTGAAGGTTGTGACCTTTTATTTTTTTGTAGTTTTCCTTATGCCTGTTTTCTCTGATATTCTGGAATTCTTTTGATGAGTTGGGGAGTGAGAAAAGCTTTTTGTCTTTGCCTTTTGCAGCTTGCTGGCAGATCCGACAGATAACGGACATGTGTTTTTATGGGGAAGTCCCACTCTTGCTATATTCTAGTTGTGCTTGGGGTCCAGCTTTGATTATATTATTTCTTCCAAACCTCTTTGACTTTCTCTGTCTATATTGGTCTTTTCAAAATAAAAAGCCTCTGTCTCTAGTTGCAGTTGTCTCTGTTCAGAAGACTGTGGCACTTGGGGTGATCCCATGACACAGTTCTACATAAGCAAGTCATAGGAATAAATACCTACCCTAGAGAGCATTTCTGAGCCCACACATCATTTTTAAACATCTACTTACAGTATAATCAGCTTCATTTATTGAAAAAATTAGTTTTTGGAGAAGGAAGGAAATGAAAGAGGAGGACAAATTCTATGTTCCCCATGCCATGCTTAGTTCAGATATTTTGTCTTTTGGGAAGAATAAATATCTGAAAAATTGAACTGAAATAGAGGGAATGCTGCAGGATTCTGTTCAATCTCTTTTCTCTGTGTTTCTACAAATAAGGACAGACATGTATTGATTCACAAATTTAACTCTAAGCAATGCACACACTAGGAATGTTTACGTAATCTGCCTTTGCCTAAACCCCACTCAACATTTGGAGGATTTGGGTGAGTACGTTTGTTAAGAGTGGAATCTAAATTACCAAAATCTATTGGTGTATTTTTGCAACATTTTCCAAGAAATTTCAAAGAAATGTTAAAAATTAGAATGAGGAAATTCTTTGAGAGATGCTTCAGAATACATAGAGATACAGACAAAGGCATATCTTCCAATAGTTACAGCAGCTGTGTCTTTTTCCAGACTCACACAGGTGCTGCAGAAGTTTCTCCTGGCTGTGCAAGTGAAAGACAGACCTTTCATTTCATTAAAAACATGTATTTAGAAGTAAATGTGGTATTCCTCTCAATTGCTCAGGGCTACTTACAAGAATGTTGTAATATTAATTCCTCAAAATAAAATGTTTCATGTTCGTTTGGGGTAATGATCTTGCAAATGTGCTATTTCATTTGTTAAAAAATGAAACAGAATGAGCTTTTAACATATTCTTTAAACGGAATATTGCATGTGCAAAATGTATTACAATTCTGAAATTCCTAACTCTAGAATGAAAATGTATCTGAATATTGAAACAAGAAATTAGTGGATTTGTTCATTCCTATGCAGTTTAATATGACCACAATAATTAACATTGTGCTGTTAGCTAATATTTAAAGAGTATGTGCAAAATGAAAGTTATCACTTTTTATGAAAAGGACCACTTTCATCTTTGAAATAACTACGTTTATTTCTTTTTAGATTCCAATTACAATAATCAAACCTGATGAGAAAGCAGAAATACCCATTGGAATTGTAATAGCAAGTGTCCTTATAGGTCTTCTCTTGCTAATAATTATTATTGCTGTTTTATGGAAAGTAAGTAAAAGCTTAGAAGTGTAAAAGTTAATTCTCACATATTACAATTTTCAATGTTGGTAGCACAAATTGATGGCACTTTTGAATGTAAGTGTAACAATAAGTTTAAGAAAATAAGAAAATGAATGAATTCCCCTTCCAAATTCTGCCTTTAAGGAAAAAAATCTGATAAAGGGAAATTCTACAATAACAACCATGTAAAAGCTTTGAGTAAAGTGTCCTACTGAAACAAATATTTTGAGTTTTCAAAACTACCTTTAAGCGGTGAGAATTAAGAATGTCAGAGAATGTTTGAATTTGAGATGCAAATCTCTTAAACAATTCTGACATATACCAAGCTACCCAATTAATGAAGCCACATTCTTCCATGGGATGTAAAATCATTGCCACAAGGCACATCATTTTGTAGCTCATGCTCAGAAGTAAGCCGATTTGAATTTAGAACTCCTCTCCCCAAAAAATGTTTTGAAGGCCTGCTGATTTTTCATCTATTAAATGCACATACTGTGCTATAATGTCTAATGCTCATTTCAGATATATTTAAGTTTTACATTTATCTGAATTTAGGAGTATGTACATATATACTGCTTATTTGATGTAATCAATCCAGTGGAGCACTTGCTACTTTTCAGTTAATGTAGTTGTAATTATATTCAGTCCTAGAATTTGTGCTCTGTCTTCATATTCATTTAGGGAAAGAAAATAAGATCAGCAAACAAGGGGGTGGGTTTACCTGCTTGTACACTGTGAGACCCTAGAACAGGGGTGTCAAACTGCCAGTCCGTGACCTGGATGCGTCACGCTGAAACCACGCCCACCCCATTGCCAGCAATGGAGAAAAAAATCGCAATACGTCGCAACACATCACGTGACGTTGCAAGTTTGACATCCCTGCCCTAGAATGTTGCTTCTTGACCTTCACAACTGAAGATGTATGGACTTCAAGTCCCAGAATTCCGCACACAACACTGGCAGGGGATTTCTGGGAATTGAAATCCACAGATCTTAAAATTGCCAAGGTTAAGAAACATTGCCCTTAGCTTAGACTTTTAACACAATTTAGCAACCCTCAGAGGTTGGCCATCTGCAGTTAAGGTTAACCATAGTTTGTCTAATTTAGAATTGAGCAGAGACAATCCATTATTAAAAATCAAAGTTGAAGAACAATAGAAACAGTGTGGATCATATCCTTGATGCTACATTCTAGCATTAAATAATAACAAATGTAAATTTTCTCAAAAATTTCTTGCAGCTTGGTTTCTTCAAGAGAACATACAAGAAAATGGAAACAGATTTGGAAGACATGGATGAGATTACAGGACTTACTAAGGACAGAGAGTAAACATAGCAGAAATATTCCTGAGTGTACGAATCTTGAGCCACAAGCAGTGCTTGCAATCACACTGTTTAATTTCTACGAGTGCCTTATGAAAAAGTTTTACATTTTTTATAAGTTATATTATACATTTAACTGCTGGTCGGTTTGGGCTTTTGTTTACAGTTGTATAAAGATTTTGGTTTTGTATATTTTGTACTGTTAATGATGGATCCTCTGAATTGGCGGGGCCAGAAATAATGCTGAAATTTGCCAGGAATACCGTTTTGTATCCTTGATGTACATGTGGAATAGTTTATCTTTATTTACCAGTAGCAGGACCTGTTATTTTCATCCTGCAGTCAAAATCTGTCCTTGAGTTACTCTAAACGTTACACACACTGAGCAGTGCTAGCTCCTCACAATCAGTATCTGGATTCAGATATTACATTAAACCATAAATTGGTCTGTTTACTCTCTTGTGACTAAATATGACATGTGAACATGACCATTGTAGCTTAGCACAGAATTGCTCAACAGTACACAATTATTTGTAGTTCATTGTAGCACCAAAGAAAGGATAGCACTTATTAATTTAATTTAGGCATTGTCTAAAAAAGCTGTAGATATGATTGCAAAGATTACTAAATGTGTTAGAGAAAATATTGTATGGACATGGAAACATGTCTTACAATAAGAGCATGACTTGACTTAGTACTGGTTCCGTACCCAAGATGTAATAGTAAACTGTACATTCATCTGGACACACTATTACAGACCAGTCTGGTTATGATGAAGATTGGTGTCAGGTCCAGTACTTAGAGCAGTCCAGAAAATCAACTCTGTAAGAAGACTAAAACTACCTTTACTGAGATTGTAAGAGTATTTATAAGAGCATCATACAAGCCTAATTGGGTTGTACCTTGCTCTCCTTATAGTTCTGTGAATTAAGGAGGCATCTGAACCACTTGTGATGTCATCTGGCTGTTTGGAACTATAAAAAATGCTTCAGTTTCTTTTGTCTAGGTAACAATTCTGTTAAGATCATCTTTCACTCAGTACATTCACTCGGTCTGGCCAAAATACCACATGGTATTTTTAATCAGAAAAACAAGAAAGCAGATTTTACTTTTTATGGGGGTTATTCTTTTAATAAAGTGGAATATCTCTTCATTATTATGACTCTAAAGAAGGTAAAGTGCAAGTTTAAACTGCAAATTTTCTCACCTGGATACAGAGCATAAAAGAAGAATGGAAACTGATAATGGTAAATGGACCAGAAAGATATATTCAAGTGAAATTTTCCATAATTATCTTTGGTTGGATATAGGGAGAAATGTACAATCTATAAAATATTCCAACAGCCTACCAGAACTATGGGAAAAACAGAAAAAATACAAACCCAGTCTAATCACCCCTTGTTTTAATACTGAATATTGTAAAAATATTGTCTTGTCTGATCATTGCATTAAGAGTAGACCTTCTAAAATCATGTAGCAACGTTCATGAATCATTCATTCTGATTGGTTTTATTATACTTGTTATCTTTGTTAATTAATGAATACTGATTTAAGTGCTATATGTGACTAATCAAATGCCACTTTGAAATTTTTAATTAAGTTTTATACAACATGTAAACCTCTTATGCTTTTTAGCTCTTTTTCCAGGTGGTGCTTTCAAATAGCTCTAGAAATATGTAAACAAACAATAAAAAGAAACTCAGTTTCTTTTCAGGGTTTTAAGGAGCAGTCAGGTTTCTGAAACAGTAAATGTTATAATCTAGTCACCAGCTTCCGGAATTCTCACATGTATACCAGCCAAAAAACCAGAATTTATTTCTACATCCCAAAACTCTTAGATTTACTGAGCTTCATGAATCAAATGAAATTGAGAGCAAAATGGCTGGCCTTGTTTACAATTCTGGGTGTAAAACAGTATTTGTAAAGGATTAAGATACTAATTTCTAAACATTCTGTCTTTCAGTAATTCATGTTTCAATTCAGGACTCATGGATTAACTATTCCAGGGGTCTTCAAACTTGGTCCTTTTATGACTTGTGGACTTCAACTCCCAGAATTCCTCAGCCAGCTATTCTATAACTAACACTAGCTGACCTCTTCCCTTAGCAACTACTACATTTGAGACTGGCAGCTTGGTTGTTAAGCAGAGTGGTTACCGAGTTAAAAATCACATGACCGTGATATGCTTATGATTTTACACAGGACTGTGCATACTGACTTACTGTAATACCAAATGTGATTTAGAGAGATGTTGCAGTCACAAATGTGATGTTTGGTGCAAAATTACTTTTCCAACAAAGTCGTAACTGCAAGCTGTAGCTGCTTGAGGAAGTTGCTAAGCAAGAGCTACTAGTAGTTTTCTAGATCTTTTCAGATTTTGTTTTAAAAAAACATTTTAAAAAAACATTTTAAACAATTCAGCACCAATTGTTCTTTTCATTACACTTTTTTTAAGCTGGCAAATCTGGTAGAAACATGCAGTTTTCTAAGATGTGTAGTTTTTTTTAAATGTGGTTTTATAATAAAGATTCCAAAGAGCACTGCTTTCATGGGATTTGAAGCATATTAAAACTGTCAGACAAGAAATAGCTGGATTTTTAAATATTAATATTAAATATTAATATTCTGAGAACAGGAGCAAATTGTATGCTTAATTTCCTCCTGCATATCTTCAGTATCATACAAATTCTTTCACTCATTTACAATATTATTTATCCATTAAGTTTATTCTTGACTATCATTACATGTAGTTAAATCTTCAAACCCATCCTTCAGAACCCATTACATTATTCTTTAAGGGGAACATTTTAATTTTGGAACTGGGATGTTCTGATGGGCAATCATGTTATTCTGCCTAGCTGCAGCCATTTATGCCAGTTTCTGCACTTTTGACTAATATCAGAAGCATATATGCTCCTATCACTTACACAGCAATAAACTCTATTGACTACGGTAAGGCATAACTTCTGAATGACTCAAGTCTGTAAACACTGGAAGATACGTACTCTTAGCTGTAATATATTACCTCTATTGAAAATATCTAATAAATTATTATGTTTACTTTTCTTTAACACTGGCTGAAATACAGGAAGCTCTTTTTAAATTTCAGTTTGTTTGCATGGGGAAGAAAATCACTTGAGTTCCCCTCCAGCCTAAGATAACTAACTTGAAGACTGGTTCAGTATGTCTTTACATATCCCAACAGCATTAATACAGATGTTCATGATGAATTTTAATTACCATTCTACTTGAGTCAAGCGTTTTCACTGCTGTTAGATTCGATGTAGAAAATATTGCTTTCTGTAATACGGACATTCATATCCGGCACAAAAATGTTACACATTTTCACTCCTAGAATCAAGTTTCATAGAACAAGGCTGGCAAAAATGTAGCCAGCTTATGTGAACTTAACTGCTGTGGTTAATTTAAAGTTCAGACACATTGGTTCAATAAATAATAGTTTGCGCTCCTTTATAATATTGTAGAATGTATGCTACAATTTTTTACTTTTCTGTATTTTTTATTTTTGTTAAAAAATAATTCAGTAAATAGGGGTATTGTACAAAGCCTTTATGTGTATTTTGCACTTTGTACCAAAACAAATGAATATACTGGAGCTTGTGTTCTAAAGAAAGATGAATCCTGTTGAATAAATTTTGAAACCATCCCACTGTAGACTTTCAATGCTGAATTATAGTCTGGAAACCTATCTAATACAAGTATATTGTTATGTCATCTACCTATCTGTACTTTATTTCTCTTTGTTTTGCTGAGCATGCATTTTAGGAGATGCAGAAAGGTCAGGGAACCTCAGGGCATCCAGAGCATCTATTACACTTTTTCCCTCAAATTGTTTGGTTCAAAAATTTGAATTATATTTGTTTGTATGAAAAAGCAGCATTTGCAAAAATACACCTTCATAGGTTTGCTGTTGCTGGTCTTTTATATCCTCCTAGTGCAAAGTTTCCTGCTAAGAAAGCCAAATTGATGTATCATTAAGGCAATAAGTTAGGAACTGGGAGACTATGATTTCTAGTTCTACCTTAGCACAAAGCCAGCAGGGTGACCTTGGGCCAGTCACTCTCTCTTACCCCTAGGAAGGTGACAATGGTAAATCACTTCTGAAATCTTGCCAAGAAAGACCTATTCAGGCAGTCACCAGGAATCAACACTGACTCAAAGACACCAAAACAGCAACAAAGCTTAGGTTAGTGTAGAATATACAATGCCCGTTCTCTTGCCTAGCTTTGGTTCATGAGAGCACATGGATGTACAAGTCCTTGACATAATTACAACAGGGATCTAAATTTCCACTGCTATGCAATATAGTTGTTAAAGTTGTGCCCAATTTTATGACTTTTTTGCCATGGTCATTAAGCAAATCACTGCAGTTAAATGAATCCATGCAGTCATTAAGCGAATCCAGATTTTTCCACTGACTTTGTCGGTAGCTGGACGGGAATGTCACAAATGGTGATCACATGACCTCAGGATACTGCAACCATCATAAATACATGCTGGTTGCCAAGCGCCTGGAGTTTGGTCACAAGACAATCATGTGACAATTGTGTGATGACTCTTCGCAAGTCACTTTCTTCAGTGCCATGTAGCAGTTGCTAAATGAATGGTTCTAAGTCAAATGGTTGTAAACTTTGAACTGTTTCCCACAATTTTATTCCCATATTTTTAATAGAATTAGTGAGAACTCTGTGGCCATCGCCTCAATTTTATAATGACTGGGGCAAATCACCTAAATTTATGACAGGCAGCAAAAGTAAGTAAGAGTTACATTATTTTGTGTTATGTGGTTCTCACAATGCTTCAGCTCTTCCACAGAATTTAGAGATACTCAAAACACCAAAAGATCATTTGATCTGAAAGAACAGACAATGATTTTAGGATACAAAGCAGTCTGTGAAAGCAGTAATTTTCCTAAATAAATGGGATGGGTGATTTCATTATCTCATTCCATTTCAAAGTTGGAGAATCATAATTTCTACAAGTTCAATTTTGGAATACAATTATTTTTGAAATGTTCTGGCTTTAAAGATTAAGGCTTATTAACACAGAGAAAGAAATCTAAACATATATTTTAAACAGTTGGCCATGTTGCAAATACTTCCTGCATTTCTAGAAATGATCAACCAAAAACTAAATTGCATTTCCCAGTTCAGTGTAATACCCTGAAGCAGCTTTCCTTCTGCCTTCTTTTTTGGGGGCACATCAATATTTTATTTTTCTCCCTTGATCCAAAAGCACTCTTTATTTTCTTTCCAGGAAGAGTCCTCTTCATACACCTCCTGTAAACAAAGAACATAATGGATAAGAATAGTTGTAACAAAGCTAACTTATCTGCTACACTGAATCCAGCAGCTACATTTTTTTTCCTAGTTTACTGTCAGGGCTGAATTAAAATATGAAAAAAAAGTCTCAGATACAATTCAGGAATAAGCAGAATCACCCCCGATATTTTCCAAAAGGACCTTGACATTTTAACATGCTAGATGCACATGTGTTCTCTGTGCATTTTGCCCCCGTTGTAAAAACAGCTTGAGGATCAGTCTGATGAGATATGAAAAAGTTGGCAGTTGTTTCCCATGAAGACTTTCTTTCCTCGGGCCCAAGCAGTATGTTTTTGTTTGTTTTTAAGTGTATCAACTCTCTGGATCAAATCTATGCAATATAACCATCTATACACTGCTAGACATATAGACTGCTAAACATCAATCCAGGGAGTTATCTGCAAATTATCAGTAGGAAGCATACACATTGTAGAGGAATAAAATTCAAAATAGTGGCTTTTGCTGTCAATTATGCACCTGCTGTCCTCTTAAAGCAATGAAACTTATTTAGACCAATGTTTCTCAACCTCATAAGATGTGTGGACTTCAATTTCTAGAACTTCTCAGCCACCAAGCTGGCTGTGGAATTCTAGAAGATAAAATCCACAGTTGATATGGTTTGAGAAACACTGATTTAGACCAGCTACTGGTTAGACGTAAATTCCCCAAAGGACTGAAGAGAGAGGGCTGGTCCATTTTGCATCTTCACTTAGGAAACTGGAATTTTCCAATCTCAGAAAACAGCAGAGGAAAAAGAATCATTCATCATAGTGGATATCTGTCCTCAACTCTGCCGGAGAAAGCCATACCACGGCATAGGCATAGACGAGATGGGTGGCAAACAAATTTGATAACAAATAAATAGATTCTGGGAAATTGTCCTGTGGACAATGTTATGTTCAGCATTGTACTTTTTTTCAAAACAAAAGTCCTGAAACGCACATACCTTTTTCCATATGGGGACAGTAGCTTTTAAAGTATTGATGCAATATTGCAAGGCACTGAGGGACTCTGCTCGGTGAGGGGAAGAGATGGCTACAATCACACTGGCTTCACTAATGGGAACCAAACTAAAGAGAACGTGAAAAGTAACATTAGCTATGGCTTTTAGCCACATTAGCGTAATCTTTCAAGGACAAAATAAAAGTCTTGTTGTCAACTACTACACAGACATAGATAAACAAGAGGGGCCATGTTCTAGGAAGATCAAATTAGAGAAGCTGCATGTCTCATGATTATGTGTTCCAAGGAAAGATTCAACAGGAAAACAAATTAAGGAAAACTAGAGAAGACATCATCTGCAACAACAGCCTGATGCAATCATTTAGTTTAGGGACAGAAAAGCAGAGCTCCTTTTTCTAAGAGCTTCGAGGCAGAAATAATCCAGTACTCCGGATAACTTTTTAGGGATACTCTGGAGTGCCTGTCAGTCATTATTCCATCCACCATAACAGGGCTTTTCAACCTTTTCACTCATTGTACCACTTTTAGGATATGGCAATATCCAAGTACCGCCAGTCGCCTAGCAAGGTGTCAAAAACCTGATGACCAAAAAAAAAAAAGGAAAAAAGTGATAAAGTACAGGTAGTCCTCGACTTACAACAGTTCGCTTAGTGACTGTTCGAAGTTACAATGGCACTGAAAAAGTGCCCCCCAAGCCACAGCCGAGCAAGACACCTGCCTGCCCACCAGGTGGCGCTCTTCCTCCTGTCCGAGGTTTTCATTGTTGTGAGCATTTCTGTTGAGGATTGGCAGCAGGGGTGGGGTGTGTGTGTGTGTGTGTGTTTTTTTTATTCCCCCCATCTGCTGGGTGGTTGCAGCAGGTTTTGGTCACTTCACATGACCCTGGGACACTGTGACCATCATAAATATGAATCAGTTGCCACGCATCTGAATGTAAATCATAAGACCCTGGAGATGCTGCAACATTCCAGATGATCGGCACTTCTTCTGGGCTCAGCAAAAGCTCAGGATCAGTGCCGAGTTCCAGCTGGAGCCTGGCGCTGATCCTGGCGCTTCCGCTGAGCCCTGACAGCCCTGCAGCTCCAGCCATCTCTCGCTCAGGCTTGTGGGGTGCTGCCACCATGTTCAGCTCATTCCCCTCCCCCGCTACCACTTTTCTAGGATGGTCGCGTACCACCTGCCAGGTGCCAATGTACCACAGGTGGTACCCATACCACTGGTTGAAAAGCCCTGCACTATAACATACAAACTAGGGGAAATGAAAAGTAAGAATAGTAACACACTGATAAGGAATTAAAATGCCAAAAAATTATACACGGGTGTTACAGGAATCAAATTGCACAAATTATATTAGATTGATGCATAATTAAAATTTAAAAAGAGACATGTAGCAGTCAGCTCTTCTAAAGCTCCATTATCTTTACTCCTTCTTTGCAGCTGAGCAAAAATAAATGCAATACAAATACTCTTGGTTATGAAAAACAGGGAACCCAATGTCCCTCAGATTTTAGACTATGACTTTCATATGTTCTAAACACTGCAAGCAATTCCCAATTGTAGTTCAAAACATCTGGAAAGCAAAAAAAGCTGCTTTTCTTTTGTACAACCCACAAAATAAGCTAAATAAATGTTCACATAAGCTTTCTACATGAAATACATGTCATGACTGTGTTTCAACTAGTTAGTGTCTGCCAGTCAGGCTGAAATCTAAATACTTTCCAAAATAGTTATCAGATTGATTATTACCGGTTATCCTAGCTTAGCAACCACAGTTGAAACCAACAACTTTGTCGCAAAGTGCTATTTTGCTAAGCAAAATATCACGATTGCACTGGACTTACAACCTCACTTCTGTTGCAATTGTTAAGCAAATCACTGTGGTCATTAAGCAAAACATCAAATGACTGTGACTTGGAATTTTACTACTACCTTTTCCACTGACTTTACTTGTCACACATTAGTTGCAAAGTACATAAATAGGAACCAAGTAACTGCAGGACACTGCAATAGTTGCATATGTGGGGACTGATTGGAAAGTTACTTTTTCAATACCGTTATAGTTTTAAATGGTTACTAAATGAGGCAGTCAGTAAGCAAGGTCTAACTGTAGACAGTCCACTCTTCCTTAAGTTCTCAGATCAGTATAGATATTATCTCATGACACGCTGTCTGGGAATTATGGCTGTCACGGCCATGATCAGTTGGTGGTTGAGGAATGCTGTTTTAAGTTATTCGCCATTAATATATTTTCAATAAATGTTATTACAGGTAGTCCTTGACCTACGACCACAATTGAGTGCAAAATTTATGTTGCTAAGTGAGACAGTTGTAAAGTGAATTTTGCCCCATTTTATGACCTTTC